ATATATCGGTCTAGTTTTAGTTAAGTGTAACCAAAGTTATTTGTGCTTTATGGTTTCATATCAAAGCTTGAGAAATATACAATCATGCTATTTTTTCTTTTTCATGGACTAACCAAACTAGAACTCTTTGAATATATTTTATACTCATCTTTTATGTTTTTTTCATTGTAGCCTGGGGATTTTGTGCACACATTAGGTGATGCCCACATCTACACCAATCACATTGAGCCGTTGAAAGAGCAGGTAGGTTGCATAAATTCAATAGAATTCAACTACATGCATAATTCTACAGGTATTTCTGTAGGTGTTAAGGTCCTTGCACACTGAGTCTGAAATTTTCGTATGCGTTTTTACCGATTTTTTCGTATTCATCATCCTTTCCTATCAAAATGCTTGCTACAAATGCGAAAACGCAGGAAGTCGAACCTAATCCGAATTTCTTTATGACGGACGAAACTTTCTGAGGCAGTGTGTAAACATGATTGACACAACATGAGGTCGTATTTATTTTTTAACATGCGAAAACTGTTAAAAATGTGCAAAATGCCTTTTTTAAATGTGCAAAGACCTTTAGAATTGTATCACCTTCAGCCATAAATACTGTCCACGTAAAATTCCAGTATAAATATGCAGAAAGAATGTTTCTAACACTTGTCTTGTATCCACAGATTCGGCGAGAGCCGCGTCCATTCCCTAAACTCGGGATCAAACGCAAAGTTGAATGAATTGATGATTTCCAGGCAGAGGATTTTGAGATCAGCCTATTTAAACGTTACAACTTACTAATCGTTTCAAAAAGTTCCGAAAACTTTCAAATGTAACGTTCCCACAACGTTTGCGAAATTATAATGGAATGTTCCCTCCGTGTTCGACCACAGCCATAACTTTTTTTAAAAACAATTAAAACTTTTTGAACATTTAGAAAACATCTAGAAATAAAGTTTTCATCCCTTAATGGGATCTTAGAACATATTTTGTATGGGTATATAAAAACGTCCCTGCCATTTCCAAATATGCTATTCTGTGTCTACAGTATTTCTGATTTGCGCTGTATTAAGCAGTACAGAAAATACTGACTTAAAAATGATTCTGCTGCTACATGTAAACGTCTGAAACATGTGTGTAGCCTATATTTGACAAATGTTGCATCTAAATCCACATCTTCTGCGATAAATAAAGCAAACACCGTAAGAGCGTCACCACGGCACGAACTGTCAGACTTGACGGCTCCGTTTTCAATTACTCTCCCGACTGCAAGAGGCAATTAAAATAGCTTTTTCCGGTGTTAACTCCAAAGGTAGAAATTTTTATTTGCAAATCTGATTAGCCTAGGTGCCGATTTACTTAAGTGATAAGCTGTTTCCTCGGCGCATGTTGAAGTCTCTCCACCGACGTCCATTAAAAACCGACCTCTTGTCTCCTCGTTAAACTCATCTAGTCACCTCTCCTCCTCATCTGAACTCAGGCAAATGTTGCAAGACAGAAACGATCAATCGGTCAATCACAGAGAGCGTTCAATCACTTCAAACAGGGCTGCGTTTCCCAAAAGTATCATAGAAAAGCTTTGATGTTTTTGGGAACAGAAAAAACATGTTTGAGTTGCTTCACAATAAACAAATTGAAATTGTAGCCTACATAGTTTGTGTAGTTGCATTTATTTAAATTGAATGTTAAAAGTTCATATTGATCATGTTCTATTTTGTAATGTTAATATAAATCATACACAGTCAGAATAAATAGGTTGCATTTTATGCAACCTACAGGTTGTTACTAGCAGTCCCTTATGAAAAGGAACATGATTTTATTAGTGACTAGTTTATATGTGTAGATTTCCATTTGGTTACCACTACAGTAAACATATTTTAACCACGTGTAAACAAAAATATAACCTAATAAGTTGCAATATCATTACCTATTTTACTATTAGTAATTATTAATTTAATACATTTCATAATTTAAAATTCAATTTAGAAGTATCGTATTGATATCGATGATACTGGCCTTTAAAAGTATCGGTATTGTATTGAAAACAAAATAAGTGGTATCGCCCATCCCGAGTAACGATGAAACAGGTTAATAATGACGTATTTAAATCGCACCTGAGAGGCGTGTCTCTCCTCAGGGAAAATGGTAGAGTTTCTCAAACCAGCCCTGGTCTTGGATCTGAAGAGATTGTGTTGCCAAATCTTGTTAGGACAAACAAAAACAAGCTCAAAATAAACCTGAATATATCTGAATGTTTTATAAAGTTTGGCAATTCGCAATTGCCCATGGCTACGTTTCCTAAAATATTGTAGAAAAAATCGTACGATAATATTAGAATACATTCATTCATGTCAATTAATTAGAATGAATGAAAAAGGAAATTGAAAATGAAATTCAATTATATTTAAGTGGGAAATGTTCCAACGCCTTTGTAGACTGAAAAATAGGGGGAAACATGTAAGGGACTCGCAACTAGCCATTTTTGGATCTTCTGATGCCAAATTTACATTGCACAGGTGGCTCAGGCGCGCTTCTAAAGTAGCATTTAATAAATTAGTCTGGCTTTTCGCTGAGCAAGCACAGAGCAACCTTAGCTTAGCTCTGTAAATACACCTTAAAGGGTTAGTTCACCCAAAAAGGAAAATTAGCCCATGAATTACTCACCCTCAAGGCATCCTGGGTGTATATGACTTTCTTCTTTCATACGAATCCAGTCGGAGTTATATTAAAAATTGTCTTTGATCTTCCAAGCTGTTTAATGCCACTCAGCGGGTGTTGCAGTTCATCAGTCCAAAAGAAGTGAAATAAAGCGCATCCATCCATAATAAAAAGTGCCTCACATGCCTCCGGGGGGTGAACAAAGTCCTCCTGTAGCGAATCCATGCGTTTTAGTAAGAAAAATAACTTAAATAAATATTTAAAATGTAATAATCACTTTAATGTAGCTTGCACTCACTGTTGTACAGTGGAAGCAGCTCTGGGCGGATGACGTAAGATGTCGGTATTGTGCATGCGCCGCTCAGAAGTGACGCACGCGGAAGCTCAATGGAAAGATCAAAACAAAACAACGGTCACGAATTAAAAGTATAAAACCAGGATTTGTAAAGAAGAATGTCGGAGGATTTCAATATAAGCCAAGAGGAGACTGGTTTTCCTTTACTAAAGTAAGGAAACTGCTTCTTTTGCTCCTGTAAACAAATTTTGGTTTTCACGAGACTCACCGGCGCATGCGCAACGCCGACATCTTACGTCATGCTCCCGGAGCTGCTTCAGTGTACAACTGTTGGCACAAGCTAGATTAAAGTGATTATTACGTTTTGAATATGGATATTTTTCTTACAAAAACGCATGGATTCGCTACAGGAGGTCTTTGTTCACCCCCCGGAGCCTTGTGAGGCACTTTTTATTATGGATGCCTGAGCTTTATTTCACTTCTTTTGGACTGATGAACTGCAACACCCTTTGACTGCCATTAAACAGCTTGGAAGATCAAAGTCAATTTTTAATATAACTCAGATTGGATTCATCTGAAAGAAGGAAGTCATATACGCCTAGGGTGGCTTGAGGGTGAGTAAATAATTGGCGTGAACTATCCCTTTAAGTTTTGGTGGTAACACTTTATTTTAAGGCCCAATTCTCACTTTTAACTAGATGCATATTATGATGCACATTACTAGCATATTGGCTGTTTATTAGTACTTATAAAGCTCATATTCATGCCTTATTCTACTTGAACATATTGTAGATCCCTTAATCTTACCCCATACCTCAATTTAACAAATATATTAATAACTATTAATTAGCAGCAAATTAGGAGTTTATTGAGGCAAAAGTCATACTTAATAGTAGGAATTGTTTTGGTTACCTGGGCTTTCAACAGAGGGTCTTATAAGTTTTAAAGTTTTAGGAAACATATGTTAAAAAATACATAGACCTACCAATATGTTAAAAAACTGTTATGCAAGCTAAAATCCATCATCCACTTTAATAACGCTAAAGTGTATTATAAAGTGTATTATCCTTAAAGGGATAGTTCACCCAAAAATGAACGAGAGCTTTCAATAGACAGCAAGGGTCCTACCACGATCAAGGTCCAGAAAGAATAATTTAATGCACAAAGAAAACAAAAAAACAAAAATAATTCAACAATTCATCTCCTCCGCGTCACCCTGGCACCATTTTGGAGAGTACCACAACGTATGTTTGTTTTCTTTGCGCACAAAATGTATTCTCGTGGCTTCATAAAATTCCGATTGAACCACTGATGTCACATGGACTACTTTGCCGATGTTTTTGGTACCCTACCTTTCTGGGCCTTGATCGTGTTAGGACCCTTGCTGTCTATGGGAGGATCAGAGAGCTCATCAAAAATATCTTAATTTGTGTTCCGAAGATGAACGAAGGTCTTACGGGTTTGGAACGACACGAGGGTGAGCAATTAATGAGAGAATTTTCATTTTTGGGTGAACCCTCCCTTTCAACCATGTGTATTTTTGTTTTTACACTTTTGAATCCTAGTTAATATAAACTGATATTAAATATATTAAACAGAGTTAAAATTATTTATATGCACTATAGATTAATATAAAATGTATATATGAAATTAAAATGTTAAGAACGCCCCACAAGGATCAGTAATGCCCCCAATTGTATTGTATCTTGTGGGGACATTTTTTTGGTCCCCATAAGAAAAACAACAAATACTACTACTATGTAAAAATGCAGAACACTTTCTATAAGGGGGGTTAGGGTTAGGCGATAGAATATACCGTTTGTACAGTATAAAAATCATTATGTCTATGGAAAGTCCTACATTAAACATGGAAACCCCACGTGTGTTTGTGTCTGGAGGAAGGAAAAGTGCAGTGATCTCTCCATAATAAGGGAGGATGACGTCGACACAGTCTCTAAAGATGGGAGTTGAAAAGGGTCCAGAAGCAAGGGCTCCCAGAATAAAACTCGCGATGCTTTAATGAGCGATGAAGACAAATGATAGCTCGTTTCATATCCGTTCGACTGTCATTACGGAGATCTCAGAAAAAAATCCGTTCTGTGCTCATAAGGATAACAAAGTGACGCACAGAAAAGTTTAAAGAGCAGACTGGAAGAGAGAGAGAGAGAGAGATTTTCATCTCATTGTCGTTGCAGTCTCTACCGGAACGCATTCGTTCGCTGCCGTAGGTATGAAACCACTGCTGGAAGAAACCGGTGTTCTGTGAACACTAACTCGGTTTTGAGATAAAAGTAGGCTGTTTTGAGAGTACATATTTGTTTGGAGTATTTGCAGTTGAAGAGACACCTGATACTGGCATTAAACTAATAGAGGGACAAAGGAACGATACAATTTGGAACGTTGAAGAATTAAAGTTTTAAATGTTTCTCTGTGTTCTATTTCATATCTTTATCTTCTACAGAATGATGTCGAGCAGCAAAACAACTCTTGCTTTCCTCATCTACGGGCTCCTCGTACAATGCAACGTGTTGAGTTACCCCAACATCAGGTACGGAAATTTACCATCCGTCTCATCTAACGCTCGGCAACGATTTGGATTTTGAGGATTTGGTTGGACGTTAAAACTTTGGCCTATAACACTATTAAATGAATACAGCGTTTAAGCGATTTTAAGCGTTTTATTGACAAGTGTCCGATCACCAACATTTGAACAGATGCGGTTTTTGTTGGCCGTATGTCTAAATAAGAAATAATACCAAACAAGTTAGTGTTCTATGAGCGTGCTTTGTTTCGCGTAGAATTCGAACGATTTGAAAGAACGGCAAAAGTGTGAACGCGCTGTGATTAGAATGTGCAATCGATTTAATTTTATAACGCGATTTTATTATGATCGTCAATAACTTCAAGGCATCTTACTCTGCATAATAAAGTGTAATAACAAAAACTATGCATCACATAGCAAGAACACAATTAGGACAACACTTTAAAGCAGTTTTACAGAAATGTCTTTACTATTTTGATGTTATAGGCTACAATACTATGTATTTAAAATATTTAGAGCATGTTTGCTTCACAGTAATAGCCTGTGTTCATTACTTGTGAACCAAATGAGTTCATGTCTTGTTACAGAACTGCAGGATTTGACGAGGAGGGAAACTCATTAACGGATCTAACCTTTGACACTGACCAGATCTCTCTCCGAAGCTCTCCTTCAGTTACTGAAGACGCATACACGTTTTACAGTCCTCCATCGAAAAGGTGATACTTCTTTCTAGGCATTCCCAAAATGGGACCCAATCAGTGTGATTCCTTTGGTTGCATTGTTCTGCTTGCTAAGACAAATCGAGACATTCGCTTGTTTAAGACGTTTGCACACACAAAAAAAATGAGATTTGCGAAATGGCACAATCTTTTTGTCATTTTGTCACCCAGAATGGAAAGGCACGCTGACGGGATGTTTAACAAAGCCTACAGGAAAGCGCTCGGTCAGTTATCAGCGAGGAAATACCTGCATACACTGATGGCAAAACGCGTGGGGTAAGAACAGTAACGTTATGTTTTTATCTTCTTGGCTCTCTCATCAGTTAGCCTACTTCACTTCCAACTTTTGACCGTGCTATAAAAAAACGCTATATCAAATGTGTCCCGGTTTCAACATTTGTAAGACCTCTGGATGAATACGGGGGAAATAAGGGTGCGTTCACACAGGAACGCGTTCTTGCTCTTAAAACCCGTTCGATGGAGCGCAAGGGAATGCAGAACTCCCGCGAAGTTTTTCAAATGTGAAACCTTTTTTTGTTTGTTTTCATACCAAAGTCTAATCGGAGTGGCTAAAAAAAATAGCGGCGAGACTGCTCCGCCAAAATTTTCTGAAACATAGACCAAAATAAAGCATTCTGTGTGAATAGCCCTGTAACTTTCAACACACCTTGTTATAATGTATATAGGCCTATCCTAGAACGTGTTTATATCCAAAATATTCCTAAATTAAACGAATTTTTAAGCGACAACTAGATTATTTGTGACTTTGTGACTTTTATTCTAACCCGATCTTATGAATGTACCACGCAAAAAATGGCGTGCATAGGTTTAAGGGTGTGGGGTAAGGTGCATATTATATGTAGGCCTATGCCAAAATGCATATTATATGCACGTCAAACAAGTGCGTATCATATGCACGCAAAAGTCAGTTTCTGCTATAAATATTATGTGAATTACAAACAAATTCACAGTCAGTGTCGACTGTTTCTGTAATATACTGGGTTCTAGAATGCTTTGTCCTTTTTCTCTAACGCAGGGGAGCAAGCATGATAGAGGACGACAATGAGCCGCTCTCAAAGCGCCACTCGGACGGGGTTTTCACGGACAGCTACAGTCACTACCGGAAGCAAATGGCCGTAAAGAAGTATCTGGCCGCAGTCCTTGGCAAAAGGTATAGACAGAGATATAGAAGCAAAGGACGGCGGCTCGCCTATTTGTAGCCTTTTTCAAATGCATCTATCATGTACATGTACAGCTTTTGGAGCAAGTTAGTCACTACTAAGACTACTATGAAGATGTGTCCTTAAGACAAATATTTTGATAATAACATTGTTTTTCTTTTGTACTGAAGCACCTGACAATGCAACGATCTTCCTTGTGGACCAGTCGTTTAGTTTTACCAATACTAACAATGCTATTTGTTTATTTATTCATTCATGTTTGTTTCAATACCTTGTCTATTAAATACATAAGTCTGAATGTGATTAAATAAATAGTCTCAAAGACAATCACTACATTGAATGATACCTTCCTTTTCCTCCTGACATTAAGAAAGAAGTTTTTTTATTTACAACAGCCCTGAAGACTTAGATTTGCACCAATTTCTACAAGACGATGAGATTGTGGCATTTTTGTTCGATTTGCTGACAGTTGCCTCCTGAATTCCCGGTGAGTTTCTAAGGCTCAATGCCATAGTGCTTTTCTGAGGGGTCTCTCTCATCTCTTCCATGCTTTTACTCGCGTCAAGTTCTTCCCACTGTCATCTTTGGCTTAAATCTCACAAGCCATTAAACACGTTTTCTTTTCTTGCACAAACCTTTCCGAAAAAAAAGAGCTCCTTGAGACCCGTTCACACCATGGACAATAACTATGACAAAAGCTGTAACTATAAAGGTTTATTAATTTCCAGTTCTATGTGAATATGGAAGTCCAAATATTGTTGGAATCACTTTAAGAATTTTTTTTTTTCAGCTGATGAACAATAAAAACTTTGACAGCCAGTCAGAATCCACCTGACTTTGGCAAGCTTGAGCATTTAAAGCAGCAGACAACAAACCTATTAACTATTTTTAATGTGAACTGAACAGGCCTTTATCGTGTATATACATGTTAATTAAATCTGCATCTTCAAACACTCTGATTCACACAGATGACTCTTTTTGAAACACTGTCCAGTCCTTCCTGCTTTTCACTTATTGCATGCAATTGCTCCCCTTTGAAATCTCACAAGCAAGAAAAACTGAAATCCATCTATGAATGCATGTGTAATGTGTATTCGACTTGATTACAATGGTTCAGACATATAAATGTTTCTTTCGTTGTTCTTTTTTTCCACAATTTTCTATCTTTCTCACATTGCCCACCTCTCACATCAGTGGCAAATGTCTCTTCTTTGTCTATGACCATAAAGCAGTTAATCAATGGAGACGTGTGTCTCTGCATCTTAAAGTTTTCTGTCACATATAAGTATCAGGTTATAGGTTATAAGTATCAGTAGGTCATTGTTAGATGAGTTGGGTGTGACACATAACAGATGGATTCTAATAATCCCTTTCTGCATGCAAGACAAATAATATTGTGAAAGATGAAATAAAAGGCCATATGTTTTGAGGTAAAACCAACTGTTAAAAGCATTCCTCCAAATTACATTACAGTTTTTGGCAGTGTAATATATGTTTAAGCTTGTTAGTGAGATGTACATGTTTGCATATGCATATTATAATGTGTTTGCGTGTAAAAGGGCGAACATGTGAAATCAATCTGTGTTTAATTCTGCATTCTCCTGCAGGCTTTGTGACACAGGAGGCAGCTAGCGGCTTGGGTGCCTTTGCTTCATCTTTAAAATGGCCACCAATTTCAGATGGCACATTAGTGGCCCTCCAAATGCTGCAATCACCTGCTCACACATCTCCTATTTCTCACATAACATACCTTGTTCAAATGCCACCTGGCTTTCTGGTTATTCGATTTAACTTCTCTATGCATAGTGTGCTGTAGCATTTATTAAACAATCTCAGCCTTGAAATTCATTTTGTGTGCAGAGACTGATATTGCCCAAAGCCTTACTTAAACATTAAGATAAATCTCTGTCTTGTGTTGATCGTTAGTACAATAACACATGGGAGCCACACAAGGGCACCATTATATATGTAAGAAACAAAAAAAAACAAACAAAAAATCTGTGTTGTAAGATTTGTATAAATAAATTTTTGTAAACAACAATTTCGTCTAATCTTTGATGATTATGAAGAAAACAAAGTCTCCAATAACACAAATAAACACCCTTGGATCATAAATACATGTACAATAAATATAACACACCTGCAAGTAACGAAAACATTTAGAAAGATCACGCCTTCACAGACAAAATGTGATATGCCATCAATAAATATAAAATTCAGAAAATGTGATGTCAGATTATTTAAATAAATAAATAGAAATATAACCCACGCTCTCAGAAAAAAGGTACGAAAGCTGTCACTGGGGAAGTACCTTTTCAAAAGGTACACTTTTGTACCTTTTAGCTACTAATATGTACCTTTAAGGTACCAATATGGGATGCTTAAAAGGTTAGTTCACCCAAAAATGAAAATTAGCCCATAAATTACTCACCCTCAAGTCATCCTAGGTGTATATGACTTTCTTCTTTCAGAAGAATCCAGTCGGAGTTATATAAAAAAATTGTCTTTGATCTTTCAAGCTGTTTAATGCCACTCAGCGGGTGTTGCATGCATCAGTCCAAAAGCAGTTAAATAAAATGCGCCCATCCATTAAAAAAAAAGTGCCTCACACAGCTCTGGGGGGTGAACAAAAACACATGTTCGATGCGTTTTTGTAAGAAAAATATCCATATTCAAAACGTAATAATCACTTTAATGTAGCTTGCGCTCACTGTTGTAAACGGAAGCAGCGCCGGGCGGATGACGTATGAGGTCGGCGTTGCGCATGCGCCGCTCAGAAGTGACGCACGCAGAAGCGCAGCGGAGAGATCAAAACAAAACAACGGTCACTAATTAGAAGTACAAAACGAGGATTTGTAAATGAGAATGTTGAAGTCGAAATCCGAAGAATGTTGGAGGATATTTTTCTTACAAAAACGCATCGATTCGCTACAGAAGGCCTTTGTTCACCCCCCGGAGCCGCGTGAGACACTTTTTTTTATGGATGGGCGCATTTTATTTAACTGCTTTTGGACTGATGCATGCAACACCCGCTGAGTGCCATGAAACAGCTTGAAAGATCAAACACAATTTTTAATATAACTCCGACAGGATTCGTCATGTACACCTAATTTTCATTTTTGGGTGAACTAACCCTTTAAGGTACAAAGGTGTATCTTTTGAAAAGGTATCGCTCCAGTGACTGCTTTTGTACCTTTTTTTCTGAGAGTGCATGATCAAAAAAATATTCTAACACGCAAAAATAATTTGAAAAGTAACACAATATAGGAACAAAAGTTAATTGAAATTAGGGTTTCAAGCTTCTGAAATAATTGCTTACCACTAAAGCAGAGCTGAATGTATACAGTAGCTGGCAACAGAGAAAGTACACATGTCTGTGTGTATTTGTGTGTATTCTCCCACCAGGCTGTGACTGGTGTTATACAGAGCAGAGACACCAGGATAAGGAGAACCTTTTAGTTCCCGTCAGAGCAGATCAGAGCTAATAATCTAACACTGGACCCCCTACATCGCTGTAGCACAGCAGGCAAAAACACTGACCTTTACCAAAGCTGACTGATCTCATGCAAACATGCATTGTACCCACTGTCAGCATTGGGTAACGAGGGTTTAATAGGATGATAGTATTAAAAAGTTTAATCTGTAAGTCTGTAAATGGGTCATAATTACAGTTTTCATGTACTTTTCATTTATTTTTATGTTTTTCCTGAGGTCCACTTAAAATAAAATGTTGTTAGATTGTAATGTATTTGGCTGAGCAGCCATCATTCGACTTGTTAATGTGTTAGATTTCTTCTAATACATAAAAGAAGTAAGCTTAACCAAAATGTTTGGTAAATAAATGTATTGAGTGTAGTAGTGTAGCACAGTTCTTCACCCAAAGTTGCCTCTGTGGGACAGAACTTTAGACAAATGGGCTACAAACAATAGACTTTTTATCAATGCGTCCAAGAGAAAAGTGTGATATCACAAACTGGGCGTGGCTCTGATGAACTCACAAGTGACTTGATAAATATAAGTTGATTCACATGCATTCTTGTCAAATGAGACATGCATATTTACCGCAATCTCAGTAATTCAGCTGTAGTTAAACCCTGTGGCGACATTTCTGCAAAATTATATTACTTTGCTTCTTGCATGTTTCGTGGCACACAATAAAATATGTCCAGTGGGTGGCACTAAAAGCGTATTTAGTTTTAGTCGAAACACATAAACGTGAATCTGGAAACATTTTATTACATGTATTGTACATATTGAGGCACTTCAGAAATGAAATGTCCAGTGAGTGCAACTAAAAGGTTAATACTCCAGCAGGTATGAAAATAATGTACCTACAATAAACCCTGCCATAAACCTGACAATACACTCTAAAAAATGCTGGGCTAAATACAACCCAGTGCTGGGTAAAATAGGGACAAACCCAGCAATTGGACTGTTTTGACCCAGCGGTTGGGTTAAATGTTTAACCCAACCTTCTGGGTAGTAACCCAACCGCTGGATCAAAACAGCCCAATTGCTTTAGAGTGTAGCGTTAACAAAAACCAACAAAAGGCATTTTGCTGAAGCAACAGTATCATTTTCGCTTTTTAATTTTGTGACTTGTGTTTCACAATACTCTGTACCAGGTGGGCTATCGAGCAAGTTTACTACATGTGAAAAGCCAAGCATGGCTGTCTGTGTGCATGTGTGTGTGTGTGTGTGTGTGTGTGTGTGTGTATCACAGAATTATGTAACGTCCCTGAAAAGTGGTTGCTTATAAAATGAAGTGGAGTTCTACAGTGGTTACAACAACAAGAACAAAAAGCAGCACCATTTCCAAATCCTAAATAATAAATAAAGATGGCACCACAAAATGAGGCTCTTCCTGAAAACATAAGTGTGTGCGATTGACTTAAAGTGTCTTAAGGGAAAACAAGCTCATTTTTTTCTGTGATCATTTCTACCTCTTTCTTCTTCCTTTCTCCTCTCTCTACCTTCCCCCTCTATAACACTGACTGTTATAAACCAGACTACCGAAACACAGTGCGACCCTTTTATATGACTATTCACGATTATTACGTTTTGAATATGGATATTTTTCTTACAAAAACGCATGGATTCGCTACAGGAGGTCTTTGTTCACCCCCCGGAGCCTTGTGAGGCACTTTTTATTATGGATGCCTGAGCTTTATTTCACTTCTTTTGGACTGATGAACTGCAACACCCTTTGACTGCCATTAAACAGCTTGGAAGATCAAAGTCAATTTTTAATATAACTCAGATTGGATTCATCTGAAAGAAGGAAGTCATATACGCCTAGGGTGGCTTGAGGGTGAGTAAATAATTGGCGTGAACTATCCCTTTAAGTTTTGGTGGTAACACTTTATTTTAAGGCCCAATTCTCACTTTTAACTAGATGCATATTATGATGCACATTACTAGCATATTGGCTGTTTATTAGTACTTATAAAGCTCATATTCATGCCTTATTCTACTTGAACATATTGTAGATCCCTTAATCTTACCCCATACCTCAGTTTTTTACAAATATATTAATAACTATTAATTAGCAGCAAATTAGGAGTTTATTGAGGCAAAAGTCATACTTAATAGTAGGAATTGTTTTGGTTACCTGGGCTTTCAACAGAGGGTCTTATAAGTTTTAAAGTTTTAGGAAACATATGTTAAAAAATACATAGACCTACCAATATGTTAAAAAACTGTTATGCAAGCTAAAATCCATCATCCACTTTAATAACGCTAAAGTGTATTATAAAGTGTATTATCCTTAAAGGGATAGTTCACCCAAAAATGAAAATTCTGTCATTAATTACTCACCTTCATGTCGTTCCAAACCCCTAAACCCATTGTTCATCTTCGGAACACAAATTAAGATATTTTTGATGAATTCCGAGAGCTTTCTGATCCTCAATAGACAGCAAGGGTCCTACCACGATCAAGGTCCAGAAAGAATAATTTAATGCACAAAGAAAACAAAAATAACAACTTTATTCAACAATTCATCTCCTCCGCGTCACCCTGGCACCATTTTGGAGAGTACCACAACGTATGTTTGTTTTCTTTGCGCACAAAATGTATTCTCGTGGCTTCATAAAATTCCGATTGAACCACTGATGTCACATGGACTACTTTGCCGATGTTTTTGGTACCCTACCTTTCTGGGCCTTGATCGTGTTAGGACCCTTGCTGTCTATGGGAGGATCAGAGAGCTCATCAAAAATATCTTAATTTGTGTTCCGAAGATGAACGAAGGTCTTACGGGTTTGGAACGACACGAGGGTGAGCAATTAATGAGAGAATTTTCATTTTTGGGTGAACCCTCCCTTTCAACCATGTGTATTTTTGTTTTTACACTTTTGAATCCTAGTTAATATAAACTGATATTAAATATATTAAACAGAGTTAAAATTATTTATATGCACTATAGATTAATATAAAATGTATATATGAAATTAAAATGTTAAGAACGCCCCACAAGGATCAGTAATGCCCCCAATTGTATTGTATCTTGTGGGGACATTTTTTTGGTCCCCATAAGAAAAACAACAAATACTACTACTATGTAAAAATGCAGAACACTTTCTATAAGGGGGGTTAGGGTTAGGCGATAGAATATACCGTTTGTACAGTATAAAAATCATTATGTCTATGGAAAGTCCTACATTAAACATGGAAACCCCACGTGTGTTTGTGTCTGGAGGAAGGAAAAGTGCAGTGATCTCTCCATAATAAGGGAGGATGACGTCGACACAGTCTCTAAAGATGGGAGTTGAAAAGGGTCCAGAAGCAAGGGCTCCCAGAATAAAACTCGCGATGCTTTAATGAGCGATGAAGACAAATGATAGCTCGTTTCATATCCGTTCGACTGTCATTACGGAGATCTCAGAAAAAAATCCGTTCTGTGCTCATAAGGATAACAAAGTGACGCACAGAAAAGTTTA